TCAATCCGAAACTGAAGCGTTTTGGAAACAAGAACTAAACGCATACTTTTATTCAGAGGGGAAATATTGTTGGAATGGTGGAAAAGAGATGAAGAAAATTATCCACACATTTCAAAGATGGCAAGAGACCTATTAAGTATTACCGCAACAAGCGTTCCTTTAGAACGCCCTTTTTCAAAAGCTGGATTAGTAGTCACTGAACTTCGGAATGGACCTAATGCTGAGTCGGCTCGTTCATTATTATGTCTTAATTCATGGTACACTTGTAGGTACGTTAAAAGATAAGCTAAACTTTGATTAGTGAAACTTACCATTCCTATACTTACCCCATGCTGTAATACCAAAATATTTTTTAATGATTTAGGATTTTTTGTAGTTACCTATTAGCGCTTGAGAAGGCACGACGCGATTAAAACCAACAATAATTTTTAAAAAGTGCAAACTAATAAATTGAAACAAACAATTTTCATAGAGTGCAAACTAAAATGGTGTAACGGTCATTGAGGAGTGAAGTGTTAAGTGATATGAATGAGTTAAGTGCCACCTGTCATTGGACGCTTTTCACTGGACAAACAAAGAAGGTCAAACAAGAGGGGAGGTGGCCATCCGCAAAAAAATTGATAAGTTACCTTAAGAATATGCATGACCTAATACAAAATCTGCAATTTAAATACGGCATATATCTTTAGGGCAATAAATCTGTCAACAACAAATGCGTAATGCAATCCCAAACGAAACCGAAAATAAACACTAGACTCACAGAATAAACTAACACATTAATCACTATAACTCTAACACAGTAAAAATAAGCCTAATAACCAAACTCTACTAGATTTGTAAACATTAGATAACAGAATAATTGCGCTTGTCATTTGCTTAACTAATAAATAAATGCAATACTTAATTTTGGAATTTAAGAAAAAAAGACAAAACTCTACCACAAAACGTGCTTGGGACAAAATTTATTAAAAACAACTGACACACTTTACCAAGTGCAGGAACTATCTGACCAGGATACGGACAATGACAATAACGAACAATACAAAGACCTCGACTAGAAAACTACATCCCTGCAGCGAAATAACAACTCCCCAACTCCAAATAGTAATCCCAAATGTTTGGAGTAATACAAATCAACTGGTCTAGGGGGATTCCGCGTCGTACTTAGTTTTAAGTCGGCGTAATTGTCCCCCAAAAACCAACACCCTCCCGTCCCTCCTCCTATACCCTACTGGGCGTATAGCATCGGCTCGGCGAACCCGAGAATGGCTATTAAAACTATTCGCATCTCGCTCTCGAGCCCCAAGTAGGAGACAGTACGGAACGCAATGGACATTCGTACCCAGCAAACACGGGTGAAGCCGTGCAGTTGCTGGGGGCGAACAAAAATCGGCGTAAGTAAACGTAGGCCTGTACGGGGTCCGAGAGTGATGATGAAATGGGGCTGGTTATACGTCTCTTATACTCATATACTCATACTCATACTTACCTATTTCCCTGTAATGTGATATTCGTACTAACAATGTTAATGATATATTTAATATTTATTTTCAGTTTAGAGTTTATTGATTTATTTTGTTTATTATAAAATACATTTATTTGGTTTCTTTTTTACTGTTTATTCTCTATAAGGTATGTATGTATGTCCTCGAAAACACCATGCAGTTTTTGAATAAAGGTTTTATATTTTATTACAAGTTTTATTTTAACAATTTTTATGCACGAATTACCAGCTCATACCCTATAATGCTGTTTTTTGCTAATTCTGAAGTTAAAAACAATTATTAAAACTTAAATGCTGTTATTATCATTCGTTTAAAGCGTATTAAGTCATTAAAATATTTCGAATATGTCTCGTCTCGTCTCGCCTTGTCTCGAAGGATGTTATCTCGTCTCGTCTCGTCTCGAAATTCGAGACAAAATGCTCTCGAGACGAGACAAAATGGCTTCGAGACGAGACGAGACGTCTCGTGTCTCGTGTCTCGCGGCACCTCTAGTAATGTGTATTTTGAGATTTTCAATTAAAATTATTACACTTTACATTACTCATTTTTTATTTTTAATGAGAAATGAATGAGTATCAAATTACTCAAGAAAGATATTTTTATTGCATGACACATTTTTTCAATTTTTGCAAGGTTTGCCATACTCTAAAAATGAATTAGTCAAAAATTACTTATTAGTGGCTGCTTTTTCACTTGTACCATGTACCATGGACCATGGTCCATGGTTAACAATGTCAACAACTGTTCTACTTTTTTTTAACTTTTTACGGCTGGCTGTTAAATTTTGGTACAAGTAAAAAAGCAGCCACTAATTATTTTTGACTCATTCATTTTTAGAGAGTAGATAGAATGCTTTCTTTATTCTATATAGAGAATAAAGAAAGTATTTTCTCAATGAAGTCAAAATAATTTTCCTAACCCAAGAAAAGTATTTTTCTTCAAACAAAGCCTTAATTTTTTCTAAAACAATTTTTTCTTTTTTAATATTTCCTTGATTCAACTCAATTTTTTAATTCTTCTCTCTCTTTTTTTACATGATATGGTCTTCAAAGAAGTCATTTATCATGCTGATAAAAATTATATAGTACGCAGATATATTATGTACACACTAGACAAATTAAAAATTACTTGCTTTGTTATTAATTACAATCAACCCCCACCCTGATCATTTTTTACTGATGTAATATGTAATGTCTTCAGTTATACACATTTTTTTATTGTTTAATATACGGTCTCTCATTTTTTATTTTTTTATTTTTAAATGAGTAGTACTCATTGAGTACCTAATGCAGGGCCGAGCCTAGGGTATCTGCCGCCCGGGTGCAAGAATTAAATTTGCCGCCCCCATTAATGTAAAAAATTAGGTTGTCGGTAGGGAAGGAGTTCATAATTTATCATTCTCAATAAACATACTTATAACAAATTTTAAAAAATAACAAAGTATTTATTAACAAATAGGTACATAAAAGAATAAAATAAAAATACATTCAGGAAAAAAAACAAAAATAATTAAACTAAACTAAAAAACTAAAATCTACTTTTCTCGCTTTTTTAATAGCAAATTCCCTAATCAAGTCGCCTACATCCAAGTTGTTATAAATATCTTCTTCAATACTTATAATTGCTAAATTTGAAAGCCTGAATTGACTCATTTTGGATCTTAAATAGGTCTTAATTAGTTTTAATTTCGAAAATGACCGCTCTCCATGGGCAACAGCTGCCATCGTCAAAAATATTCTTAAAGCTACAAATAAATTCGGAAAGATGCCTTTTAAATCATTAACTAGTTTTTAACTTAAACGCATTAAAAGACAAAAGAAACTACTTTGTTTGCATCCTATTTGCCTCACTTTAATAGAAAAATTGCTGAAATACGCAGCCGTCAAATCGGAAGAAATTATGCTTTAACTTAACAGTTCAGCTTGTAAACAATATCACGTGGTACACAGCGCGCGATTTGATTGGTTTCCCGTAAGCCCGCTTCCGTAAAAGATGAAACTTGACGAACTCGAAGCGGACGGACGAAAAGCGAAGCGGGCGGGCGGCAATCTATAAACCGGGCTTTAAGAAAATTGTCATCATCATTTTTTTGGCTATCGCGGGTTCGGTTATGTCTTTTTTATCATTGCCGCCTGACAGCACAATTTTGGCATTGTTTTTATGTGTAGAATAATTACGATGATTCCTTGAAACCCCGACATCAATAAAACGCAAGTGATTTTTAGAAAGTTTTTTGCATATTGCAAGGTGGCTTTTTTATTCTTGATAATATGATACAATTTTTTTGATGATATTTTGCCGCCCTGTGTTAGTGCCGCCCGGGTGCCATGCACCCCTTGCACCCCCGGCACGGCTCGGCCCTGACCTAATGTATTGTTCGACACATTAATTTTTAAATGAGTACCTATTGAAAATATTTCTCATTCATTTTTTTTTAATGATTAACGTATTCAAAATACATTACCATTAAAAAAATGACGATTGCATTAATTTTTACATTAACATTTTTCAATGAAATAATAAAAATTTAAAATGGTATAAATACTGTATAATATCAAGGGGGTAACCAGGGGGGATTTTTTTAAATTTGCCATTTTACTTCCTATAGAAAATAATCTCCATGAAAAGCATCTATCATAGCAATAACCTTTGATGTTTACTGCATCTAAGTACTTTGTTTTGGATATGGTCTTGGCATTTAAATTTGAATTAAAAATGGCCATAATCACGCCTCGCTTTAGGCTCAGTAGCACTGCATCGCTGCGTTCACCGGGTTCCATGCATTAATTTTCACGCTACCATACACGTATGCAGAACAACATGGCGCCTATTCCGGACCCCACACTGTTATCGCATTAACTTCCAACTGATAGCTATACGAGTATACACGTAACCATACCTATACTACTTCTGTGCTTGAAAAACGTCCCATCCATGGCCATTTTGTTGTTTATTATGGACGGGGATTTAATGGATGTAATTGATTTTTGATGCGATTTATGATTTGGGCTTATTGTGTTGGTCACCTCAATGCCTTATTGTATCAAGCTGAAAAAGTATCAATTCAATCAAAAAACCACACAGACACGAAGAAAATCCTTAATCCGGAGTTGGTCCTTGATTTGCGGAGATTTTACTGGTCACTAAACGGACAAAGTTTACGGCAATAGAAAAGGTTTTATTCGTTTCCGATAAAAGAGCTTGCAAGACGATCTCTGCGCGATTGAGTTGTTTTGTCCACGAGCATCTTAAATTTGGTAAGAGACGTTGCTTTTCCTCGAGAACGAAAATTTACTGTCTCGTGCACGTGCTCGATCGTAAACTCGCCGACTTTACTCGATATTACATTTATCGGACGAATCGTTCGTCTTTTATTGTCCTTATTACTTTGGCAATTACTTTCCGAGGGCCGTGTTTTGAGGGTCACGATTTTTCAGGGTCCAAATCTCGGTTTTACGTGAGACAAGACTTTAGCAGTAATGACGATCTTTAGCTATGAACAGGGGCGTGCGAAGAAAAGGTAATTTTCATTTGACCCGACTTTTATATCTTAAATGTAAAGAAATGCCTACCTACACTGTCTAAATTTTACAATAAAATTGGGAGGTTGTATGATTATAAGCATAATAATTATTGTATAAGTAATATTACTGTAGTAGTATTGTATTGTAAGAGCCACAGAGCTGTCTAAAATGTACAAAAACTATCCAAAATGACAGTTTAACTGTACCGTATTAAAAATATATTTATAAATTTTAAATATTGATATTGATATTGTCCATCCAAAAAATGTAAAAGAATCATTGCTAAATAAAAAAAAATCTATTTTTGACAGTTTTAAGGAGCATATAATGCATATTTGAATTGTTTTCATTATAACCATTTTTTAAATGTATATTTTCGGTTTATTACAAAAACATCGTTGCCAAGTTTCTTAAACTTGAGTGATTAACTCGTTTAAGAAGGCGTGGTATACCACGGCGTGGTATACCACGGTTTAAATTTTTTTTTTATTATTCCTGCAATTTTTTATATTTTTTAGTACTCCTTGAAAGAGCTTTCTCAGTAAATTTTGAGATTTTTTTGATCACGGGTTTAAACGATATCAAATTTTCAATAAACTGCTTTTTTTTTTGTTTTTCGCAAATAACTTCTTAAAGAATGGTCCAAATCAAAATGGTCATTCTATTATGTATACATAAAATTTTCGTTTTTAAATGTACTTTTCGAAAAAAAATATATTGAATATATTTGAAGCGTTTTAAGTCAATGTTTTTGAGTTTTAAAGTATATTTATTTAAATCGTGTTTTTAAAAATGTGTGTCTTCTTCGATTTTCGCGAAATTTTTATTTTCAACTTCTATCTATTTAACAACCATTCAGCCTGGTCCGGTAGTCCGGCCTTCCATAATTACTTCATTTTATATAAAATGAACATTTTGATTTGGACCATTTTTTAAGAAGTTATGAGCGAAAACAAAAAAAAGCAGTTTTTTTTAAAATTTGTTATTTTTTGAACCCGTGATCAAAAAAATCTCAAAATTTACTGAGAAAGCTCTTTCAAGGAATACTAAAAAATATAAAAAAATTGGAGGAATCAAAAATTTTTTTTTTTTAAATTATCCGAATTGACGTGGAATGCCAAAATATAACTAAAACTTAATTTTTTACAGTTTGAATTTTTTTTACTATCTTTCGACATTTTCGGTACTTTTGAGGTGAAAAAAATACCTACATTATTTTTTTTCAAGCGTTTAATAATTCTGTATTTACATTGCAATTCTTGAGTAAATAATGTTAAAGTTTGACATTATAGGTTATGTGCATAAATTTAATCTACAGTGACCTGTAATTTTTCAGTTTCCTACACTGATTTCGAGCTAAATTTAAAAGATGGAGCCACTCTTCCTTTGAAATTTTAATGTATCTTTATTGGTGTACGGCGGTCTATACTGCCCTGTTACTCTCTAAAAATGAATAAGTTAAAAATGACTAATTTTATTAGTGGCTGCTTTTTCACTTGAACCACGGTTAACTATGGAATACCATGGTATCCCAAAATTTAATAGCCAATTCCTATGTAAAATTGTCTCCTGAATCCGAAAATACCTTAAAAAATTATGAAAATGGTGCAGTTTTTGATATATAGTCAACTCCATATTAAATGGAAAATTGACTATATCTCAAAAACTGTTCTACTTTTTTAACTTTTGACGACATTTTCGGATTCAGGGGACATAAGGTACAAGTGAAAAAGCAGCCACTAATAACTATTAAATTAGTAATTTTTGACTAATTCATTTTTAGGGAGTAATCTAAAATGCCTTATCTACAAGAACAAAAGATCATTTTTGTTGTTAAAAACAATAAAAATGATCTTTTGTCCTTTATTACTTAATATTGTAGATAAGGCACTTTTGCTTAACAGGGCAGTATAATACTTTGACTTTTGAACTGCGTATACAAATATGGTCTCTTTCTGTAGGCTTATGCGTGTTAATAATACATAATAGTATATTAAAGAACTAGTCATAAGACGTCATTTTGTCGCACGCGGAAAATTTATAAAAGCGAAGGAGCGAGTTTTGTAATGGACGAGTGCGACAAAAGGTCTTATGACATGAGTTCTTTATGCTATTTTATATATTTTGCATAAATTCTATATAAAAAATAATTTTTTACCCTAAATTTAATTTGGTCGAATTTTACTTTAGATAGTTGGTAACAAAGTCATTGGTTTGACATGCGCCATGCCGTCTCTAATTTACTTGTTTACAATAAACGGCTGTTAATGTTAAAAAAGAAAAAAAGGATTTTCTTTGGTGTTAAACAAAATTTATTGCCAGAAAAGTCTCGTAAGTACTAGAAAAATCATAAAAATATAACCAATATGCAAAATATTATGCTGTTTAAAGTACCTATAGCCAACCTATAAAATCAATTTTGGGTGGGATAAAGTCAAAATAGATAAAAATTGTTATACCTATCAAAAAAAAATATTTTTTCACAAAAACAATTTTTATATTTTTAACACGAATTTTTGTATTTTTTGCCTTTATGAATTGGATAAGGAATAGCAAAAATTTTGGCCAATGCGATTTCCACGTAAAATTTAGACACAGAGAGTGGGCTGTTTAAGGAGAAAAAGAAAATTAGGACCAATTAAAAGTAAATTTGGCAACAACTAAAAGTGACCAAAAAGCATCAAACAGGTAAGCAAGCCATCGTGCGGTCGAGCAGATGGGCGTGGCTTAGATCGGGCCCGCCTCAAGGCGTGTCTCGTCTCTCCCCACTCCCGGAGAAAAGCGGTCGGCTGTGAAGAAGTATCGGGGAGTGCTGCGGCCGCCCAGGTGCGTTCGTCAAAGGGGGGGCGGAGGAGGAACAAAGCCCAACATGTTGTCATCGGCGGCGCGCCGAAAAAATCGCACATTCCTTTGATAACGTTTCTAGCGTGCAGCGAACGGTCAGTTGACGTAGAAACAGCGTGGCGCGAAGTAGCCTCAGGAAACAATAGCAAGTAGCGATCATAATCAATTCCATTGGCACGCCTCTCGAAAGTGGGAGCAGCCAATCTAAATGCTCTCGAACAGTAATCTTGTTATATGTGAGTCAAAGGGGATCTAAATATTCATTCTGTCAAAACAGCTTGCTTCTGTGGTAAATGCTTCACACCTAGTGAAAGTTCGCCGCCGCGCCAATGTGCCAAACATGATGGTGATGATAAAAACTATCGCAGTGCTGCATCCCTCTTGTTGTTAGGTACAAAGGGTCCAACCGACATTGACTCTAAAGACATAGGCAAGAGTAGTCGTTGTATTGTTGTGGTGATAGAGATGTGCGCGGGCTTTACGTTCAGGTGATGGAGGATAATTTAACGATGAGACCGTGCGCCACAGACTTTAGCATCGCCGCGATCATGTCCAGGCACGGACGTGCCAGGACGAGGTGCAGGGAACGCGATCCGCCGGATACTATTTCGCCCCTTGGTAAGACTACCCAATTCTAAACTACACTCACGTGCAAAATAATCGATCCACACAAATTTTCGATGAATTTCAATCGCAAATAACTTTTTTATTTAATGTCGGATTTAAACAAATATTAAAGAATATTGTAGATAAATTAATGGACAATCGCTCACATTTAAAAAAAAATACAAAAAAATAGACGTACGTTTATAATATACAGGTTTAAACAAAAAGATGTTTTTTACCATTCTGTAGAGTGGCAAAACCGTATATTCTTCTAAATTAAGTTTTATTTATCAAGTCACATCTATTCTTAACAGTTTTGTTTTTGGTTCACCTCGATATATTTATTTTTGTGGAAAATATGGATTTTTTTAAAAAACATTGCAATTTCCAATATTTTTCCTGTATGAAGAACTAAGGTTGCTATGGTCCATCCATAGCCTATGGAGAATGACAGTGACAGTTTTGTTGAATCATCCCATACTTGGACATGTCATATACAGATTTTAAAAGCTATCAAATTGTTTTTTGTAAATTAATGTGTTAATTTTGAGGTGTATTCTTACCTTTAAAAATGTCTCCGACTGATGTTGCCCTTTGTACTCTACTTCTTATGACGTTTAAAACACTTGCCACGTAATACTGTGACCGTCCATCCTGGATGAAATTAATAGCTCTGGCAACATCAGTCGTAGACATATCCATTTTATAAAGTAAGAAGACACCTCAAAATTTAAACATTAATTTACAAAAAAACAATTTGATAGCTTTTGAAAGCCGTGTATGACATGTCCAAGTATGGGATGATTCAACAAAACTGTCACTGTCATTCTCCATAGCCTATGGATGGACCATAGCAACCTTAGTTCTTCATACAGAAAAATATTGGAAATTGCAATGTTTTTAAAAAAATCCATATTTTCCACAAAAACAAATATATCGAGGTGAACCAAAAACAAAACGGTTAAGAATAGATGTGACTTGATAAATAAAACTTAATTTAGAACAATATACGGTTTTGCCACTCTACAAAGTGTCTTAAACTTATGGTAAAAAACATCTTTTTGTTTAAACCTGCAGGTATATTATAAACGTACGTCTATTTTTTAGTATTTTTTAAAATGTGAGAGATTTTCCATTAATTTCTACAATCTACAATATTCTTTAATATTCGTTTAAATCCGACATCAAATAAAAAAGTTATTTGCGATTGAAATTCATCGAAAATTTGTGTGGATCGATTATTTTGCACGTGAGTGTATATAAGTATGATTTCAATGATTGTATGTATACATTTTGTTACTGTTAAATTGTTGATAGAATGTAAAGGGTACTTTGGAGGACCTTAAATTAAAGGAACGATCTTAAATTAAAAAAAAAATACCACAAGCAAAATATTAAAAGTTATTGTCAAATTTATGTCAAACATTATAATTTATCCAGGTTCCTGAATTTTACGAGCTTCCTATTTATCGAAAAGGAACCAAGCGCCAAACAAATTTTCTGGGCTTAGTAAAATTAGGTATTTTAAAATAACTCATTTTTAATA